TTCGACGAAGGGGATGCACACTTTTCGACTCGTTTTTCGTCACAGGATTACAATGTCAGTGTAGTTATCATTTTGGATGCCGTATGATTTCATAGTTTGGAGGCAATCTTGGGCTGACTGGCTGGGTTTCACATCATGTCGGTCATGACAAAATAACATTGACCTACAGGAGGTCATCTTCATAGAGTTGATCGAGTTGAATTATAAAAATAATTCACGATGAATGCCTGATGGGACTGGATGTGCGTTCGCAGTTTACTCATTAACTGGATACTCTTCAGTTGTTGTGTGAAAATGGTGGTAAACTTTGATTTCAACTTGTCAGAAACTTACAGTGCGACTACTATAACTGGGGCCACATTAGACAAATATGTTGACCAATCGGATTTTATTACAGAGAAAAAAAATACAATCCGAGAAAGTTAGTTATCAATCATAATTACCATGAAACAAAATTAACAACATGGATCCAAATCAACCAATTACAACCTACAGATGTGACCTTTTGAACCTGCTGAAGAAAGCACGTGTTTCCCCATGCCAGAGCTAAGTTAGAGTGAGTGGCAGAGGCAAAAAACATACACGATATTATAGTTGTATTTTAGACTTGCAGTGGCCTGTTATTGCAAAGCGTGGTAATAGTATATCAAAGAAATAAGCCACTTGCACTAAGAGGTCACGTGACCAATGCTTCCCTTAAACAATGAGTTGGAATCTTGCTGATGCCAAAAATTGACGGAGTGCATGAAAATTATTTTGAGAGGAAATTTGAGAGGAAACGCGTTTAAGGGAGATATTTTATGGCACTTTGATTTTTCGACAAAGTAGTATGATTTGTATTGGCCACCATGTTGGAGGGCATACTCTTGCCCTCCAACATGGCAGCCAAAACTACTTTTTGCTTGTATATTAATTGTTAAACGTTTGATCGCTATGCTCAGATGTGCTGAAAACAATACCACATCTTTTCAACAATTTCCTTGAAGTTTATAAGTGCAAAATTTCTGTTCAGAAAGAGGTAATTCACAGGTTTAAAAATCACATTTTGGTCACGTGACCAGCTACAAACTTAATCATTTTAGGAAAATGGCGTGGAATTGAAAACTAAATCACTATTATTTTGTTTAAGATATGACCCACTTAAATGGTTTTTTGAAGGCAAAATCATAACTTTCATTTTCATAAAAATGATGTCACATGACCTCTTAGTGCAAATGGCCTATTGCTGGTAGATGACAAAATAACAGCTTGTGCCAAAGAAATATGTCTCCTTGGTGTTGTATGCAAAGTTTTGAAAAGGAGAACATTGTTTGATGAAACATTTTGCTTTCCTGAAAAACGTTTGCTGTCAATTTTAATGTTTTACTTCAAGTAACTTATTGTTTTTTTACGAGCTGCTGATTGGCCCACAACCAACTTTCTTGAAATGTATTGTTATTTTCATGTAATCCGATTGGTCAGCTTTATCTAAGTGGCCCCAGTTACAGTAGTCAGAATGTAAGGCTATGTGGATAATTTCCAAAAAAGTGAAATGAATAATTTGTGGAAAATTTGACAGAAAGTACAAAATTTGATTATTCAAGACTCCAAAAGGTTTCTGTAGAAACTAAAGGTAACTCTCTAGGAAACTTTCTTATTTTGAATTATTCCTGTCCCAGGCAACCAGAAATAAAAGTTTTGGGGCAGAAAAGTAAAAATAGTGAATCATATAAAACCTTGGAAGTGCAAGGAAGGTGACAGCTGTATTAATTTATTCTTCACTAGTTAAAAGGCAATTCAAAGATGTCATGTTTGATTTGCCTAAAGCTAGAGATATACTGTATTTATTTGAATGAGCACCCAACCTTGAATTAGCGCCCACCTCAAATAAGCGCCCATCCTAAAGGCAGAAAAATTTAATGAACACCCAGCCTCGAATAAGTGCCCACCCCCACCCCGCCTCCCTCCCCCTTATACTCAAACTCAAACAAGTGCCCACCCCCACCCCACCCCCTTTCTGGTCCCTCCCACCCAAAAAACATTAATTAAGTACTAATAAGAGACTTGCCCGAAGACGGAGTTTTCTTCAGAGTATTTTACAGAAACCTTATAGGCATTATAAATTTCAGTCAAAGGTGTTAGTAAATGTGAAGCAATTTAAAAACTGAATGCACAGGTGGGTGCAGTGGTATTATTCACCTCTCATTTTTAAGCTGGAAGAGAGGGAGACCAGGCATAGGCTGGAGATTTGAACTAAAAACATTTCTTTGCATCAAACGCCCTACCCCAGGGACATTGTAGATGGTCAAAAGAAAACTAAATTATTCTTTACCCCTCCCCCTAACTACGTGGTCAAAGTAATATCTTTCCAGTCTGCTCGGATGCCAATGTCTTTCAGAATTTCCTTTTTGAGTTCAGTCTGTCAGCACATTTTCGTACATCGTGCTGGGAATGTTTTCAACTAATAAAAGTAAACAAATTTTTATCTGTTAACGTGCAAATTTCCTTGCTTAATTCAAACTCAAGCAAAACAGTCAATAAGCGTTAAACTTCCCAACACAACAAGAGCGAGACGAGGTTGAAATGGATGGATTCACGAGTAGGAAAGAACCCTGAGAATGAGCTCGAACAATAGATACCTAATTGTTGCCTTTAATTTTCAAATCATGCGCATGTTCATCTCTCCTCCTTCCTTCCACGTGTGTTTAATAAGATACCCACAGATCCCCATGGGAACTATGGCTGCCATCTTTGGTTATCACCCCCCTGATTATGCAACTGTTCAGACTGTGGTAACCAGGTGTTTCTCATCTTCAATTCCAAATCCCTGGTCCTCACACCAGCATATTGGCGATAATCAAAAGTGGCACGTCGCCACAGCAGGCTGACTTGTTTATGTCAAATCCGCCACATGTGCCCAGCTTTCCCCCATTCGGACAGAGAACATAGAAAGAATGTTTATTTTTTAAAATTTTTTTGTAACCCGGCCTACTGATAATACCCTATTTTGCTCAACGGTAAAACTAAGAAAGCTTAAATATACTCGCTAATCTATGATGACTTAAATACCCACTACATGTAATTACGTTGAATGATGCAAATCACTGATCCTCCACCTCGGTTGTCAACAAGGTTTACCAATCGGATTACAGGAAAATATCAATACATTCGAAAAAGTCAGTTGTCAAATATAATTACCGTTACCACGAAACGAAATAAACAACATGGATTAAAATCAGCCAATTTCAACCTAGTCAGAGACATGACCTTTTGAACCTGCTGAAGAAAGCATGTGTTTCCTGAGAGGTCTGTTGCAGTGTGTGATGGAGGCAAAAAAAATAAACGATAGTTGTATTTTTGACTTGCAGTGGCATGTTATTGCAATGCATGGCAATAGTAGCGAAGAAATTGGGGGTAGATGCAGACAAAACAACAGCTTTTGTCAAAGAAATTAAGGTCTCCTGGAGTGTTGTATGCAACGTTTTAAATAGGAAAACACAGGTGAAACATTTTGCTATCAAAATTAAATTATGTGCTTTGAGTAACTTTTTGTTTTTGTGAGCTGCTGATTGGCCCACAACCAACCCTCTTGGAATTTATTGTTATTTTCCTGTAATCTGATTGGTCAACTTTGTCTGGCGTGGCCCCGATTACAGTAGTAACACTGTAAGGCTATATGTAGATAATTTCCCAAAAAAGTAAAATGAATAATTCGTGGAATTGACAGCAAGTACAAAATTTCTTCATTCAGGGCTCCAAAAGATTTCTGTAGAAAAGGTAATAATAAGTACTCTCTAGGAAGCTTTCACGTTTTAAATTATTCCTGTCCCAGCTTCAACGTTACCAGGGTGGACACATCTCCTATTTCCTTTTTTGCATGCATAAAAGTTTCCCTTTTCCACGTTTTCGCATGCAACAAAGGAAAGAGCAGACATCTGCATGCATGCAGGCTTGGAGGATGTCACTGACAAAAACTGTTTTCATAACCTTGTCCTTAATGTTAATTGATGGTCTCACTCTGCTGTACAATTGACATTATTGCAGGTACCAATGTTGTGAAATGTGGGACCTTTCCACACTAGCAGACAAACTTAGAATTGTCTTTAAAACATCTAAGCTGAAACTTGTATGGTGACAATTTTAATTGTTTTTGAAAAGTTGATTCGCACGGAAAACTATTTACTGTCAACAGCTCGTGGCATCTGTCAACTTAATGGAAAGAATAATCAGGCCTTTACAACAAATGATTGATAGGAAAAAGTCATGTTTTCATTTTGTCCAGTAGTTAACCCAGGGCAAATTTTGTCCGCGTGGCCTTTGAAGATTGTCCCTTCTGGGGCAAAATTTCTAAATTTGTGACAAACCATCTGCATTTGTAAAGCATTGGTGATGACAGAAATTTTGTCTTAGACAGCTTTCTCGCCAGTGCAGATATGCCCTTGGTCAATGCCAGCTGGGTGTGAAGAGTTGGGCAGGGGACTCGAGCCAATCACAAATGGAGAAATATTTGAGTATAATAATATGATAAATAATGTTGTCTTGCAAAAACGTTAAATTTACTTGTATATACGCTTTCTGAACCTTAAGATTTCTTTTCCTTTTTGTGCCTGAAAGTTCACCTACCTACACTGTCAGGGGTGATCAATAATAACGTTTATACTACTACATGAGAAATTTCTGCAATTTGATTGGCTTAGAGCAGTGGTATTTCAGCTTAATTTGAAATACCTACATGTGAAAATTACAAACCTTTTGCGGGTAGTAGTATAAACAAATAATAGCATAATTTGTACGTAATATTTAGCCTAAATACCACTCGTGATATTTCAAAATTGTCTCAAATTTCACTCGCCTATCGGCTCGTGAAATTACGTATGATATAAATATCACTCGTGGTATTTATGCAAACATCACCATAAATCATGCTATTTCCTATGCTAATTTGCTAATTACTATTTTTAATATTTTCGTTTTAGATTACAAAGAAAGGACAAGGATACTTTTATTTAATATTTTGAATCATGGCGGATTTTTCCAGTGTAGAACTAAAAGCTTATGTTAAAGATGGAGGTGCAGTGATAAGTTTGAATCTAAGTAGAAAAGGACTCTCCAGGGTACCTGATGCAGTCACTGAACTGACTGAAGTGGAGGAACTCAAACTGAACAACAATAACCTGACTGAATTACCAACAAGTATTAACAAGCTGAAAAATCTTGTCAGACTCTACTTGCATAGAAACAGACTCACAAAACTTCCTTCTGAGATTGATGACTTAAAGGAGCTGAGGACGCTGGATGTGAGTTACAACCTGTTGGTTAGTTTACCTACCAGTATATAGAAGCTGAACCAGCTTGAAGAGCTGGGCTTGTCTGATAACAAACTTACAGAACTGCCATCTGAGATTGGTGACTTAACGGAGCTGAGGAGGCTGTATGTGAGTTTTAACCATTTGGTTAGTTTACCTACCAGTATACAGAAGCTGAACCAGCTTGAGGGGCTGCACTTGTCTGCTAACAAACTTACAGAACTGCCATCTAAGATTGGTGACTTAAAGGAGCTGAGGAGGCTATATGTAAGTAACAATCAGTTGGTTAGTTTACCTACCAGTATACAGAAGCTGAACCAGCTTGAGGAGCTGGACTTGTCTGATAACAAACTTACAGAACTGCCATCTGAGATTGGTGACTTAACGGAGCTGAGGAGGCTGTATGTGACTAACAACCAGTTGGTTGGTTTACCTGCCAGTATACGGAAGCTGAACCAGCTTGAGGAGCTGGACTTGTCTGATAACAAACTTACAAAACTGCCATCTGAGATTGGTGACTTAACGGAGCTGAGGAGGCTGTATGTGAGTAACAACTAGTTGGTTAGTTTACCTACCAGTATACAGAAGCTGAACGGGCTTGAGGAGCTGAACGTGTCTGATAACAAACTTACGGAACTGCCATCTGAGATTTCTGACTTAAAGGAGCTGAGGAGGCTGTATGTGAGTAGCAACCAGTTGGTTAGTTTTCCTACCTGCATACAGAAGCTGAACCAGCTTGAGGAGCTGCACTAGTCTGATGGCAAACTTACAGAACTGCCATCTGAGATTGGTGACTTAAAGAAGCTGAGGAAGCTTAATGTGAGTGGTAATCCTTTAACTTCTGATGCAAAAACATTTTCTTGAGACGAACATAAAAGGAAGGACCGGTATGTTTTTTTAACGGTGAAATTGTCGTTAAGTTATTAGAATGGTAATTTTGTTATTTATAGATGCGAAATATTTCAGTAGTTCCATTGTTTTTTATCTTTGTTTTTAATAAGGCTCGAGCAAAATTGGAATGGCCAAATTAAACTTTCCTTTATGCTGAAACTACTCACTGTGCTGAACATTAGTGAGGAAAAGTTTCGTCCAGAATTTAATTTTTTGGGACACTCCTTGAAAATTAGTTCTGTTCAGTAAATATTTGAAATAAATACATGAAGTAAAAATCATTTTTACTTAATAAGGAAATGCCATTCTTTTTCTCAAGAAAAACGTTAATAGTTATCAGTTTTCCTACATTCCCACCCCCCCCCCCCTCCGTCTACTGATGACCTCTGTTTATTGCCTCTAATTTCTGAACAAAGGTTTTTTCGATCAAAGCTGTAACAGGATGTAGATATTTTACCCGACACCTTTTTGCATTGCAAGCAAATTGAAATGTGTACTTCAGAAAAATAGTCCTTTTTTGCAGCTGCTTTTCGCCGTTAATTTTCTTTTAATGTCACTGGTGCGATGTTAAGTGAGAGTCTTTTAATAGTTTGTACTTTTTAAGTTTTGCAGTCAGTTATTTAACAACCAAAATATTTATCGGATGCACTTTCTTTCTAAAGATCTAGACAAGGTAACTTACTATAAAAACTACTCAAATACTCTGAATAAGCTGAAATGGACCTGTAAGTCATCCTACTATAAGCAGCAATTTGAAGTAAATAAGAACAACCTAAAAAATACATGGAAGTTAATTGGCACCATTATAAACAGGAAACCTAAAGGGCACACTGTACCAGCAAAGTTACACTACAATGGAAAAACCTACACCGATAAACATGACATTGTCAATCAGTTCAATGAGTACTTTATAAATATTGGTCCAAATTGAGGAAAAATTATTCTACTGAGCAAGCAATTCTTGAACTCACTGACAATCTTAAAATGAAAATTGACAACAATGAAGCTATATGCAGTATTTTTCTTGACCTATCTAAAGCCTTTGGTACTGTCAACCATCAGATCCTACTACAGAAATTATACAGATACGGGATCCGTGGTGTCCCTCTGCAGTGGTTTAAAAGCTATCTTGAGAGCAGAACACAGAATGTTGATGTTGAAAATGCTAAATCAAACCCACTCTCTATCCAATGTGGTGTACCACAAGGTTCTACCCTTGGCCCATTTCTGTTTTGATATATATCAATGACATGCCTAATTGTTTAGAAAAGGCAAATATTAGAACATATGCTGATGACACCACTCTCTTCTACTTTTCCACTTCTCTACAGGACCTTGAAAAAACTATAAATGAGGAATTCAACCATCTTCTTAGCTACTGCTCGGCTAATAAACTTTCTGTAAACTTTAAGAAAACCCACTATATGACGGCCTCCTCCCCCCAAAAAGCAAATAAACTTAAGCTTAATTTACACAATATTGAAGAAAAGAACTACATCAAATACCCAGGTATCTATATTGACAAAAATCTTAATTGGGCTTCCCACATTCAGCACATTAACAGCAAAATATCTAATAACTTGGGAATCCTTTTCAGATTACGCCATTTCTTAACTTTAAACACCCTCAAACAAATATATTACTCACTTATCTACCCCTACCTTCATTATGGAATTATGAGTTGGGGAAACACATACCCAAGTAGATTAACTAAAGTTCAAACGAAACAAAATAAATGTATACGCTGCATATTTTTTTAGCCATAATAGAGAAAGTAGTGCACCCTACCTCAAACTTCTAGATATACTTAACATAGCATTTTTAAACTCAAAATCTCCTTGCTAGCTCACAAAATCTCACAAAATGAAGCCAATATCCTTGAAGTGTTTCAAAACTACCTTGTAAAGGTGTCTGATATTCACTCACACAATACCCTCAAATCTTAACTTTCATGTACCACGTGTAAGGTCAAATTACGGCAAACACACATTTAAGTTGGCCATAACCAAAACTTGGGAAGAGATTCCTACTAAGATAAGAACTTAGCTACCACAAGTTCAAAAAAGAATATAAGCGAATTCTAGTTAACTCTCAAAGGCAACAATGGTAATATGACTGTCTCACATAACCTGACTGCTGGCATAATCGTCCATAGTTACCATGGCACCAAGCGCACATTTATTCTGTATTTCCAATCATAATATAGCGGTGGTTAGCTCGAAAGCTAAGCTCCTCTGACCACCGTACACTTCTACCCAAGCCATTATTTTTCCTTTTTTTTTTCCTTCTTCTTCTACTTTATTAGTGTATTCTTACCTTACTATATATAATGTTAATATTTTTATAAAGTGTGAATAATAAAATTGAATTGAATTGAATTGAATATCGAGTAGAATAACGATTATTGGTTTTCAAAAACAGGTCTCGTGGGGTTAGTGGTTGATTTACCCATATATCTGTCCCCAGATAACTTAGCATGATCTAATATGTTTTCCAGCAAAAGAGACTGCTTGGAATGGGCTGCCTAGCAATTACTCAGTGGAACCCAACGACGGTTTTCTCCTACTAACATTGAAGACACTTTCTAGGCTATCCAGAGTACTCTTTGATCTTTAGAAATGCATTCCAATCGGCGGTACAGAATTTGAATCTATTCGGTCATCCTAGGGCAACTTAAGGTGACTCGACCCAGTTATTTTGTGAGGTTCCCATCCTACTTTGAAGCTCTCTGGTATCCCCACTGCCTTTACTTTGATCGTAAGTCTAACATATAGCATGGATAACATATAGATCAATCTACAATACAGCATAAAAGTTTTGGCGATCGGAGTAAATGTCACGTGGTTATAGTGCCAAGCCTCTTTGGGTTCTGAGTCGAAATTCTGCTGTTGCCGGCATTTTTTCGTGAAAATCTCTCGGCTACATATAGTTCGCATTAGTGCCTTGTGTTGAACAGAGTTTAGTTCGCCAAAATTGCAAAGACCCAATGCGAGAAATTCAGCGGTTTCCCAATTTAGGTCATAATTTATGTGAAAATGATAAGCAAACTTTAAACGATTATATCTAATAAACTATGAAATTTACCCCTTTATTTTGGGGATCATTATAACAGATGGGTCCTTGCAAGTCAGTAAAAAGCCTCAGGGCCTTGCTTTTGTAAATGCGCACGATTTCGAGCAATGCAAACATATAGAAATTATAGTTTTAGCTATTTGTTGACGTTTGTCAGCGTTTAAGAGTCCTTCTCACGAAAAAGCATTTTCTTAAAAACTCGTAGTTTTTTTCCTTCAAAATTTTTTCAGGGCCACAATTGATTAACTAACTACCCGGATTCTGAATTTCATGGTCATTGAGAAACTGTGACATTATCTTCTGTAAGCCCAAACTTGAGTAACATTGAAGATTTTTAGCGTTTTGGTTGAGTTTGGGTTTTGGGAGTTTTCTATTGTTTCTAGTCTGTCATGATACAGCATTCTTGTTCAGTACTCGTGCAATGACCGCGCTTGATTGACTTCCGAATGCTAACCGAGATATGATAATTTTGGTACGGTGAGACAGGCGATCGCGTTATACAAATAGGTTTAACTCACGATTTTTAATCAATTCTCGTGCTTCCTGTGCCTTTTGCAAAAAAATCAAGAAATGCGACACAATCTCTTCTCCGTGAACTTCCTCTCTCGCCCGAATAACATTCAACACCCCGGCCATTTTCTTTTTAGAGTTTTTAATTCTCGGCACGATGTACCCTCAGCTGGCTGGAAATTTAACGTTACGTGACGGGAATCCCTTCTATTTTCTCATACTAAATTAGAGTGGTCATCTAGAAATTTTTAGCCTTCCTCAAGCTATAGAAAATGTTAGGTAATTTTTGCTTCTCCAAACAAATATTTTACAGAAAACAATCATTGGGTGCCCCTGATTATTGAATGAGGTTGAGTATGATATGAAGAATTTTGCAGATCAAGGAGGATTTTACATGGATAACAGCCTACGAGATTTGAGGAATTTTTAACATCATATGAAGCCTCTTCTAATTTCGGGCTGACGTACCGTACAAATGTCTAATTACCACTGTAGCTAGGATTACTGCCTCAAGTGGGCAAATGCAAATTGTGTTATTTCAAATTTACCAACTCCTTCTTTGACACCGAGTTCTCAAGGGGGGTACTCCGGATTTCAAGTGACGAGATGATCGAATTGGGACAAAAATCAACCCCCCAAAAAGAAACCAAGGGTTTCCAACGAAACCCAAACAACACTAGGGACACCCAAGAACATTTTCTGTTTCATCAACAACATACAAATGACAACTTCAAATTGTTTTGAGTACGCAAAAAATCCCCGCGTAAATGAAATCGTAGCCAAAAAAATCCCGAAATCGAAAATTTCAAACCCCCAAAAATCTTTCAATTACCTCCTTCACTTGAGATCAGGAGTACCCTCCCCCCCCCCCTCACCCCACCATCGGGACCCACTCATTTAAGTCGTTAGTGAGGAAAAGGCTTTGTCAATATCCAGTGAAGTTTTTCAAAGCTTCCATTTATTTCACT